GACATTCCCATTTGAATGTCTGACAGGATCAGAAATTTCTCCCCAAACCATACTCTCCCAAACTCTTCATTCATCTCATTCAATGGCAACTCTACCATTTCAGTTGCATGGACCCACTATGGTGATGTCTGACTCCTCATTTTCTTATAGACTCTACACTTAATCCATCAGCTTATCCTTTTAGTTTGATCCTCAAATTATTTCTCCATATCTGTTGTTCTACACTGACAAGCCTCCAGCCTATTATCACCCCATCTTATAATTCAGTAATTTACAGAGCATTCAGTGCAGCAATAAGCTAATCTTTACAAAACCAATAATTTAAATCATGTCATTCTATGCTTCATTCTCCCCTTCAAAATTTCCTCATTTCATATCAAAAGACAAAGTTTTTTTTTTATTGGTTGTTCAAAACATTACAAAGCTCTTGACATATCATATTTCATACATTAGATTCAAGTGGGTTATGAACTCCCATTTTTACCCCAATTACAGATTGCAGAATCACATCAGTTACACATCCACATTTTTACATGATGCCATATTCGTGACTGTTGTATTCTGCTACCTTTCCTATCCTCTATTATCCCCCCTCCCCTCCCCTCCCATCTTCTCTCTCTACCCCATCTACTACAATTCATTTCTCTCCTTGTTTTTTTTCCCATTCCCCTCACAACCTCTTATATGTAATTTTCTGTAACAATGAGGGTCTCCTTCCATTTCCATGCAAGTTTCCTTTTCTTTCCCTTTCCCTCCCACCTCATAAAACAAAGTTTTTATGAAAGTTTTCCCAGGACTTATAGCATCTAGCTGCTGTTTCTTCTCTTAAGCACTCTCTACTGCTTGTTATCCTACTCAGTCTACTCCAAACATCTATTTCTTTTTGATCTTACAATTGTGGGCATACACTTATTGTTTTAGTCAGCTTTGTGTCAATGCAAACAAAAGATTTAACAGGAACAAGTTAGGGAGAGAAAGTTTATTTGGCACTCATAGTCTCAGAGGTCTCAGTGCACAGATAGCCAACTCCATTGTCCTGGACCCAAGGTAAGGCAGAACATGTTGAAAGGGCATGGAGGAGGAAAGCAGCTCAGGACATGGCAAACAGGAAGCAGAGACAAGGCCCCACTCACCAGGGAAAAAATATAAATGCCAGAAGAATGTCTCCAGTAAACTACTTTTCCAACCACATTCTACCTGCCTAAAATTATTGTCCAGTTAACCAACGGCTTAATACACTGACCAGGTTTATGATCTTATAACCCAATCCTTTCACCTCAGATCTTTCTTACATTGTCTCACACAGGAGCTTTAGGGGAACACCACATATCCAAACCATAACACTTGTGTTAGAAGTTACAGCTTCCCATTTCTCATAATGCTTATGTATAAATGACTCACCTGTTTTAATAATTTATCCAAATATCCTCTTTAGCCATCTTCTTAAAATTATAGAAAACACAGCTCTATATTTTTCATATTACTTTTCACCTAGTAAAATATGTATATGAAAAAAAGTGATTCTGCTCAAAGTTTGTTACAATACTTAAAAATATAGAGCAATAACCCCAAACTTAGAGAATTAGAATGACAATTATGATCTCAGTATGAAAGAATCACCAGGATTAAGGGTTCTAAGTGAGTGAGGGACACACATATATAGGTAACTATCAAATGTCTCTCTCTCTCTCTCTCTCACACACACACACACACACAAATCAAATACAGGAGATTAATTGATAAGCATACTATACATTTGTTTATAGTGCAATAGTGCATGTATAGGTGATAATCTTGGTGATTACAAAAATAAGATAAAACATAAAATAGACAAAGGGGAGAAATGATTGTTGGGGCAAGACATTGGTTTAGTTTTAGATACTAAGTGAAAAGGTCCCATCTTCCTACCTTGGGTTTAAAGTATAAGAAACTAGATTCTTTCGCTCTCTGGTGACCCTTCTATTTGGAAATTTCAAATAATATTTAGGACAGGGTAACTTTAGCATAATACATTTTAAACAATTGTTCTTTTTAATTTTTTTCTTTTATCCATTTACAGATGGGTTGGTCACCTGTATTTTTATATCTCCTGCATCTTAAAAAATTGTAGTTTCAATTACATTTGATAGTATCTAATAAATGTAAACCTATGGTGTGAGAAATGACAAAGACAGAGTGCCTAACCACCGCTACTTGAAGTCCCCTAGGACTTGGGTTAATTAATGAGACTCATCCTAAGGTTATACATGATCTATTACTTCCTCTAATTAGAAATAATAATCCTGATCATTATGCTGGTTAGCTGGAAAGACGTAAGATGAATGTGCTTAACTATGATTAATAGTCTTCTTTAAGCAGTGTAGATCTCTCCTGTCACTGAGTTATATGCAAACTGGACTGCAACTCAATGCTTTTTTTATGATATGTAATTTTTAAAGCTTAGAGAAAAATTCATTTTCTGGTAGATGTTTTTGGCTTTTCTGGTTAAAAACCAAAACAACCTTTTTACCATTTTAAAATTGATCATTATAACACAATCTTTTACCATTTTGCATGAAATAACTATCTCAAAATTTATCATTTTACTTTTTTGTATTTTCTCCAAATTATATGAATACTTATGGGGATCCATTCTGCTGGGATAAAACAGACTTTTGCACATGATAATATACCAATTCACAAAAACTGAAAATTTATTATAACATTACAATATCAGTTATTTACTGCTGTTTTGTTAAGGCTGATGTCTACATTTTGCCTACTGACAACTTCAGCTTACACTTTCATATGCCAAAAAAAGCTAAAACAAGTAAATACCTGCTTGGAGAAGCCCACACATCCATAGAGAATGTTAATCATCTAGGGTTTTTAATGTGAATAATTTAGTTATAATATGGCCAAATATTTCAGAATCATTTTAAATTAAAAGATAGAACTTATGTTGCTATCTCAATTTAAACCTTTAAAATACTGTGCATATACCATTTAATTTTTGTTTTGAATATGGAAAAATTCAGACATGATTACTTAAATCTTAAGAGGCTGAGTCTACAAAAGTTATAGTTGTAGTGAATATATGATTTTTATCTCAATACTTCAAGCAATATTAGAATACTTGGGAGAACAAGGCAGTCAGAATTTTGGCAGTTACACATATGTTTAAATTTATTGAGCAAAGAGACAGGTTGTCTCAAGAGTAAAACACAGAATATGAGTCAGAGAGTCCTTATTCAGTACTAGGCTTTATCAATGAATGACAGCTTCGCCTTGGGAAAGTTACCCTACTTCTTAGTATTAATATAATTTTGAAAATGGTGATAACTATAAGGGCATTGATCTCATGTTTCTTTTGAGAATGAAAACAGGCTAATATGTATAAAATATCACCATAATGCATAGGTTATACTAAACAGTGATAAAAGATAACATGCTTCTTTTCCATCACGAGAAATATGTACCTCGCTTTGACTGAAATATACTTGGATTTCAAAACCAGTATTTTGTTTAATCAATTTTATGGCAAGAACTCAGTGTGACTAAAATTTTAAATTTATCAATATTTCCAATTGATACATTAAATTCAAATGTTAATTTTTTAATAATTTTTATAAGATTTCAGTGAAATTTCTTTGCTATCAAAATTGTGAAAAAATTAGAACAAATATATGTATTAATTAAAAAAATTGTGGACAGATTTCATATTTGAGAACTTCAATGAGATGCTATGTTAAATACATAGATATGATTTCTGAAAATTACTTTTTGAGTTAGTCTTTCATAATTGAATCATGAACTCTGATGCATAATAATTTTATATTTCATAATTCTCTTTTTAAAATTTTGTTAATAATTTATGAGATTTTCTATTTGAAATGTGTTTTAATAGATCAAAAAAGATCCCTTATTATATATTTGTAAGCAATAATTACTAAAGTTTCTATGAGTTATTCAAGACAATGAATAAGCAAATATTTAGGCATGTATTATGTACTCTTAATTGTGCTTGTAAATTGAAAAATACAAAAAGATGTAACATGTTTTCACCGATAAAACAATAAATTGTAATAAACATAATAAAATTGATTAAAATCAATAATATGTTAAAATCAATCACATACATTGAATGCAAGTATATGACATAAACTGTATGTTAAGTGTTTGGTTAAGTTTTCCTGGACAATGTGAAATTTGAAGCATATTGTTAAGGAAAGGAATAAGCAATTGAAAGAAACATATAGATAGAAAAATTAAAAATCAACTTCCCAATTTCATAGATTAAGCTCATTTTGTTGACTGTTTACATTTTGGAGTTAAAAGTAGAGGTAAATACATAAAATATATTTACTCTATAAAGTAACTTGAAATGCAGATGGAAAGAAATGCTCTTTTGATATCAGAGATCACAGAGAAAATACTCAGGTTTTTAAAGTACTAGAAAAAGTTTAGCTACATGTGTTTAAACTAGAGATATATATGGTTTTTAATTTTTATTTAAAACTTTGAAGTATATGGATAAATTATAATAAAATTTCTTTATAATTTATTTAGGAAAACAATATAACCATACAAATAGAGTTCCTTTTTTTTCTTTCCTAAATAATAGTTTTACAATAAAAATGACTCCTCAAAATCATACCCATACTTAGTATATATACAAATGAAGAGAGAGTAGGAGAGAACATACTTGTAAATGACACATGTGTATATAATAAATGTGTATATTTAGTATTAATTTGAAAAAACTTTTAGATTGACAAAAGACTTTTCCAATTTGAGTTTAATGGAGATAACATCATAAATGATTAATCTAACCAGAATGTCACTCTGTCAATCAACTATAAGACTGACATCTTGATAAATTAATAACAATCTTTCTGAAACAGTCTACTGAGCTAACATAAATGTTAAATAAATGTGTTGATAACTGAACATATGCTGTTCTTAGAACATAAGAGGAACAAACATAAAATCCACTAAGATTTGTATTTAAAAAGTCATACCTGTAGGCCTTGTCCATCGACAGTAACAGAGTTGGCTCTTTGCATTTTGTTCCTATCAGATCCTTTGTTTGGCTGCTGGGAACCACTCTTTTCCTTTTTCACTGTTGCTTGTCTTTCCTGTAAGAAAAGTATTTTATAAAAATAAAATTAACATAAGAAAATATTTCACTAGAAGATGCAACTAATAAATATCTCATGGTTACAAACTGAGGCCCAACTTCCTAATTTGGAGTTGCTACTACATAATACGAAAACTATGTCTTTAACTGGCTCCATGTATGTGATAGTTACATGATGAAAAAAAATATATCAGTTAAAGAAACAATGCAAAAGAAAGCCAAATTGGAATTATTTCTATGTGTCCAATTATTGCTCTTTATCAAAAGTTATTCACAAACAATGGGATATATAAATATTATAGGATTATCACTTGAAGAATTTGGTAAAGAGTGCTAACATAATGCTCTTAAAGATATGCAATATTGTAAACAAATTCTAATTGCATGATGGATTTTGAAGGTACTACTTACATCAGGAGTGGCATATAAACAAAAACTCCCATTCAGCCCCAGCTAATTCTTTAGTTCATATATATTTAGGAGTTGTCTGTTTCGTTTTTTTCACTCTCCCTACAACCCAGCCCCATCAACTTTTATCACCACTGCCTGAGCTTTTATTCAAATGACCAATAACCTTCTCATGTCGCATCTAATAGCCACGATTTACTCAAACTTTAAGCACCATTTGATAGAGGGGATCTCTTCTCACTTCTTGAAAACTTGCCTCAATTTGCTTTCAGCACACTTCTTTCTCTTAGCTCTCTTCTTACTTCATTAACTGCTCCCTCACAGTCTCTTTCACTCATTTGTCCTCCAGCTTTGCCACCTATAAAACTTAGCCTCTTCTTTAGACCTCAGCTTCATTTCATCATTAGGCTTTCAAATTCAATTTTATGAAGACTTCTAAATGCATAACTCTTGATTCAGAACTCTCCCTCAATTCCTATATATAAATGCCCTTTCTGTCTTTCCATGTATCAGTCCTTGGACAGTTACCACTTCCATTATCATGTGGCTCATGTGATAGTTCTCTCTTTTGCCTGGATTATTATCACCATCACCTAAGGGGTCAATCTCCTTCCAGCTTTGTCTCTCTGTAGTCAATTTTTTTACACAACAGCAACATTCATTCCTTTTTACTCCACTTCAGCAACTCTGGCCAACTCATTGCTCCTTGATCACAACAATCCTGCTTTTAATTCAGGGATTTTGCAATCATTTTGCACTCTGCTGGAACATTTTCCCCTGTGTATTTGCTGCGTTTGGTCCTGACATCATGTCTTTGGTCAAATATCAGATAGCCTTCTCTATTTCCTTTAACCTCCTTTTAAATATAATTTATTACAACCTGAATGGTTATTTATGTGATTTATTGAATGCTTGTGTTCTTCATGTTAATCAGAGTCCCACAGGGAAAGAATTTTCTTTGGATCACAGGTCTGTGTTAGATGCTAGATCAGTGCCTGACAGAAGACAGAATAAATGAATAAAGATATAAACTCAAAATGTTAAAAAAATCGTTTTTAAAAAAGTACCTAGATAATTGTGCTTAGGATTTGGGGGCCATGTCTAGGCTTGATGTGAAAAAGTTGTTCTGATTAGCAATGCCTGGCTAAGGTGCCTATGTGCTTTAGTGACACTTATTTCCAATAAACTCATCCAGATATATATTTCCTAGTCCCTGTATCTACTTGTTAAGTATCATTTAAATTTCTGTAACTTAGAAAGATGTTTTTAAATAGCTTCAAATGTAAGCTCTTTTTAAAACCTATTAGTGATAGATAGATCAGAAATCTCTTTTGACGAAAATAAATGCTAATCAGTGTAGTCTAGTCATCTTGCAACTGCATGGTGCAAAAACACTGAATACATTTTGTGTATGTTGAAAATGGATGGTATAATAGAATTCCTGATATTCAAGTTCTTTGGAAAATGATGTGCTTTCATATAAGCATAATTTCTGGCAAAAATATTGATTTTTTAAAAAGAAAGTTCCTTCTTTCTAAACTTGCAAATTACAATTTCATCCATATTGTAAACAGTATAATGCATAAGAAGAGGAAACCTGACTTGAATCCCATCTCTGTTACTTAGAGATGTAATATAGACACCTACTCTTAACAAAATGGATAGTGTTTTCTATTTCTCAGAGTTGTTTAAGGTTTAATAGAAAATCTATAAAGTCTTTACCAATGTGTTTGTATTATAGTATGTGCTCAATAAATTAAAGTAGGAATGGTTCCTCATGGCAGGCCTTATCTGTATTGCCACCCTGCACAATGGTTTCATATTTTCAAACACATATATATGAAAAAATTACATTGGTTAAATTAGGAATATGTTTGAATAAGAATAATGCTTATATTTTAAAATGTATAACCTGTGCTGGGAGTTAAAAATACAAAATTGGTGAAAATGGAAATAGTTTATTTCAGGGTCCTTTGATGTATGTATATATAACATAGAATGAATATTCTGTAAAAATGTACAATATGAAAGATATATTTGAATGCAACTATTTTGTTATATAATGCATTTAAAAATTTATTTAGGACTTGATTCTTAAATTGCTTCAATGAGAAGAATCAAATAAAATTCAAGTTTATTAGTTACACTAGAACTGGGTATTTATACCAGATCATGTATATATGTTACATGTAAAACCTAAGATATGTATGTATATATCTATAAAGAGCTAACAAATCATCTATCAACCTTATTTTATTCTAGTCCATGAAAAGAACTAGGAACTGCCTATGTGGTAAGAACTTCTAGCTAGCAGAGAGAGCAGTTTTTTTCTGGTTTCTTGTCCATGAAGGAGTCATAATTCTGAGCATGCTGAGAAGAAGAAGACTAAATGTTTTAGAGCACACTAGTGTAAAAAAAATCCTAAAATGAGTTTTCAATTGATGAGGTTTTATTTTTGAATTCTAATCTGAGATATTAATTTATAGCAAATCAATTTTAAAAATCCTCATCATATAAATATTTATATGTATTTTATTATAAAATCTAGCTAATACTAAATGGTAAACATTCATTTAAACATACACATACATCAAGAAAACCAATTGATTTCTTTGGGAGAAAAATGCCAGTAAGTAAAATTATGGAATAAATCAAGGTTGAAATTTTAAAAACAGAAGAGACTTGTGGTCATTTAATTTTCCCCAGGATTCTCTTATTTTTATTTTTGACTCTTATAGAGGTCTGTCTGGGATATTCACTGTATTTTATTTAAGCAACCTAGTGAACAGGAGGGTAGTTGGATACATTTTCCTATTTCCATTGAGGAAATCTTATTTTTGTATGAGGTACAGAAAAGGAAAGCACTGAATTCTTCAAAAAATATGCTGTCCTCAAGGATTTCACTAGCTTGTTCAGGGGGTTAATTAACCCTGACTGGCAAAGCTCCACTGTGATATTTAAGAAGAGTTATTTCCCAATTGTTACAGTTATTAAAAAGTTTCAGTAAGAACTCACAAACCTTATTTTGTATTATCAATCAGGATAAAATTACTCTGTGAGTAATAGGGGGCAATGTTCACCATTTAACCTTCAGTTTCTTTTTTTAAGATTTTGGGCTCAAAACCACAAAATAAATTACAATGTTATAATTAAGGCAAATTTCCTTCTGCCAGATAAATTATCCTAGATATAAAGATTTGGAAAATTGTCTTGTTAATCAATAGAAATTATTCAAACACTGAAAAGAACTACTGAACAAAAAAAGCTTGAAAGAATATAGAACATATAATACAAAATATAAAATACATTTATTGATGTTTGAACATTTTCAAATATCAACCATTTGTGTTTGCTATGCAGACATTTTAAATACAAAATTCAGGGTTTTGTGATCGTTGGACACTACAAGTAGCACAACAGATCTTGAGTGGGGAATATATTGTATTAGAATTCCAAAAGAATAATCAACATAATAAACAGACAATAAAAGCCAAAGAAACCATTCACAGAAAACAGAAAGATGAAATAAGTGAAATAAAAAGACCTCACTTTAAATATGTGTTCTAAAAAAAAAAAAAAAAACTTTTTCTATATCATGCTGATTCTCAGAGGTAGAGTATTTGTACATTGGTGAAAACTGCTTTCTCAAAAGGGTTGTTTACCACAATACATAAGCCTGCTGCTATCGATCACTGGAAAACTAGAAGCAGCAAGTGATGATTACTTTGAGCACAAGATTTTCTCCTTTTTGTCCAAACTCAGCATGAGAGACAGACAGCAGAAAAGCACCTGGACTGGGATAAAGCTATGAAGTGCTTTGCTGCCAACAGCTTCCATCCCTCAGATCCTGGAACTTACTCTCTCTGCTACTGTACAACTTGTGGTAAGAAGACAAATCTGGCTATTCCTGTCAATGGAGCTAGGGCATAAGAATCTCCCAGAAACCTCAGAATCTTAACCCCAGGTATCAAGTACATATTCGTAGTATTTAAGGTGTCTCTCACCATATTCATCAGAGCTCTCAAAAGAACTCTGAGAAAACAACTTGTATCTACAAAGCTACAACTTTATTAGTGTGGATTATTTGGGGTTTTGAATATGTTACTAGCTAAGAGAAAAAAATCCATTCTAAAAAGTGGCAAAGGTTCTAAATCTACTAGGAATCCTTGGATGTTGCCTCAAAACTGATTGCTGACTAGAGAAGTCGCATTAATTCTTAAAAATATTTTATAAAGTTTTCAACATAAATATAGTAAGTGATAGGTCTAAAGATTATCATTTTAAGAAAATTAAATAAGTTCATATTGAAACAGAAATAACTTTGGGCAAAGACAAATGTCTGAGCATCTGAGCATTGTCTCATTATTTTGTAAACTTGGGCAACTTATTTACCATTATTAGGTCACCATTTATTCCACCTTTAAACTGGAAAGTTTCATGTAAAGATAAATGGAAATAAAGGTTGACTTAAAATACGTACTCAGTAAATGGCAATATTTTTTGAAGTACAAAGACATATCATTTTATTATTAAGATCATCACAAGTATGTTACTCAGGTCATAGTAGTAAATGGTGGGTGTTGTAGAGAAGAAATTCACTGTATTGTAATTTATTTGCCACTGCATCACTATAACTGGAAATCGTCATTGTAATGATATTGGCTATGTCCTTGGGTTAGATAACAAAAAAAAAGTTGAAAATATGAAACCTACTGTTAAAGTACCTGGAAGAGCTACTCGTTTCCTGAGCTAGAAGGGACATTTTGATCATCACATCCTGGTTTTCATACATCACACATCAAGTGCATATTTTCTCAGAAGACAATTTCATACTGAGCATAACCACCTACAAAATTTCTGTTAAAAAAATTCCTGAGTGGATTTCTTTAATGAATTTTAAGAATGAGAGAGTCCATGTCAAAATAATTTAATTTTGGCTATGCACTAGCATACGGAAGCACAATTATGAAATAAGATTATGTGCATGTGTACAAAATGTACATACGAAAGCAGACAGAGGAACCAGTCTCAACTTTGCCCAAGTGACTTTGTAAAGCATACTGACAGCTGGCTAGAGTAACCTAAAGCTTTCTAAGAGCAACGAGGCAGCTCTTCATATGCTTATCATATTCTTTGTCTCTATTAGTTAAGCTAAATGTTACAACTTGTGATTCCTGTGTTATTGTTTGATCTGTTTTTGTCATTTTCAGTGAAATGTGTCCTCTTGTATTGTAACTGTGTAATTTAATTACTACAGTTTTTAATTTTGAGTACGAAATGAAAGATTTGTTGCCATGAAAAATTACATGCAGGTTTTAGAAAGGCATGATAATATAAGCTACATATGTGTTGGAGCTGGTGGTGTGTATGAGGAGTGGTTAAGTTTAGATGCAAAAACAATGTGTTGGAAATTAATCATAAAAATGGAGAAAACTTTATATTTAGATTGCTTCACAGATGTCCTTTAATTTTTGTTACACTTTAAAACAACTGAACCTGAGTATCATGGATGATAAGACTATGTCAGAGGCAGGAAAGTCTATATGCCACTTCCCATTAGAAAAACTGTCCTCATAGAAAGCTCTTCATCCTGTGTCAAAAAGGTGGCGTGATGATGATACATTTGCTTTTTTAGTTTAGTTATTAACGTATGTGTATATCTTTGTATATGTCCTCCCTATTTACTCTAACCACATTTTCAGTTAACCTAAGTGCAATTTTTCCTGCTGGTAGAACATAAGGTTCCCTGTCTGCGTGTATATATGTGTATTCACACACGCCCTCATGCATATATCCACACCTGGGTTTAAGGAAATTTTTGGAACAACATAGCTGAAAAATATATATAATGATTTTTGAGGGATAGTGGAAAATTTAAATCAATGTAAACCAATATATCTTGCCAGAAAGAAAATAAGTAGTATAGGAAGAATTCTGAAAAACTTTTAATCAGGAAAAAGATATTTTAAAAAATTGAAAAAATCATATTGTAAAACTAGAGAATTTGACTTGCTTATTCAGTGTATATGATCCATTTTATATGGAACTATGGGAGACCTTTGGAGATTAACAAAACTAAAATGAGAAATCTAATTTTCAAATGTAGTACCTATATTCACTTGATGAATTTATAATAGCCGTAAAATAAAGTCAATATCTTGAAGAGGTAATATTAATTCTCTCACAAATAATTAATGAAATGATATACTCTTGTAATATCTTGTCACTTGAATGAGGAAGTTAGCATCTCTATTTAATAATAATTATGATAATAATGCCATCAACTCATTTGAAGGATACAAAAATAAGTTTAATATTTCTTTTAGATTAGAAACATTATACTTCAAGCATATCTCTAAGCATATTTTCAAGTATGTATCTGATTTGAAACAATAGTTTATTTTAATTCATTGAGGCAGTTGACACTGATTAGAAAATTATATTTGGTGGGGAGGGGAGAACAGTTATACTTTTGTGCAATTATGTTATTCTCTAATTAAATTCATATTCTTATGTAGTATTCATATATTATAAATAATTCTTTCTGAAGCAGGCAGATTCAATTTTCAGGCAAACAGTACCATATGAACATTTTCTATAAAGACAATAACAATTGAGCAGGAGATTGTCACAGAACATTGTGAGGATTTTGCTTCATCAATGCAAAGACAGAGCTAATACTGTAAGCAAATGTGGTGATGCTGATGCTTACATTTATTTTCAAAAGATTAAATTTACTTGTGACTATATTTTTCTCCAATGACTTTCTATGCAATATCATGTGCTATATGATTAATACAGATGTACTCTCTTTAATAGGCACTTCAAAGTGAGCAAGGATTTCTCAATATAGTATCATAGAAAGCTTCACTTTTATGATTTTAAAGGATTGAATAATTTTGGATTTGTTGTCATATGTTTATATTTTATGATAAAAAATAAAAATGACACTATTTTATGCTCTGGTTAGCTTTACTAAGTAACCTTTATGTTTTCTCTGTTTTTTTTTTCATATAATATCTTATATCCCCAATTCTTTCCACAAATGTAGACTGGAATCCTTTAAATCTATCCCATCACTGAAAATATAAATAACCTCATTTCCAAATATTGGAATAAAAAGAAAATAAAATATCAAAATTGATGTCAGTAGGTCACTGAGCCAACCCCCCATATTTTTATAACAATATAATATGCACAATGAACTATAATTGCAAGTGTGAAACCTTGTTTAGCTTACGCACCTCAGGAACTGAAACTCCTGAAGTGGGCAGAGTCTGCTGAAAAAGAGAAGTTCATATTAAATCTGAAAAAAAAGTCAAACTGAATACAAAATATCAATGAAGATTCTTATAACACTATATGTCTGTAAATAAATGTACAATTTAAAAATTTATTCCCTTGGCATCATTTTCTATTTCCTTAAATAACTGATATCTTTTCATTGAATTAGGAATGTTCTAAGACAGAGTGGGCTTGGTTGTGAAATTATTTATCCAAAATACACCTGAATCTACTCAAAGCACACTGATAAATATCCTTGATCAACCTCATAGGCCTCTCTACAATATTAATACATTATTGTATTTTGGGAATGGAACTCATCTTCAAGTTCCATCATCCTTTGTAAAGAAAATTATAAATTTCCCCTTTACTGACCTCACTATTCCATTTTACAATCCAATTTTCATTACTTTCTAAAATTACTGTCTTTTGACTTTATTTTGTGATACTCTGAAAATAAAAAAAAAATCATTAAAATAAATAAAAATAAAAAGATTTAAATTAATAAATTTTAATTTGAGAGTAATTTATAAAGATGAGGTTAAATACATGAACACTGACCTTCATGACAGTGTATCTATCTTCAATTATCTACCACCATCATTTTGCTTGTGTGTATGTGAAAAAGAGTGTACATATGCATGTGTGTTAAGAGAGAAAAAGTTGTTGAAATTCCAAAAACCTGAATTCTGAAAAACTTAGAATGTAAAAAACAAAATTTGCAAGAACAGATGACTAATCGTGCACATAATACTAGATAAAAGCTTCCCATGGAGAAGGAGAATAGGACAACTGGATGGGAAACTGGGAGCTCTTAGATATTGTAAGGCCCTGGAAAAGAGGGGGCTGTTGGTATTTTCCATTTGCCTCCACAGACCCAAGCTCACATAGCCAAACAGAATATAGATAGATTTTAGACCATTGGGATGGATACGAAAAATCTGAGAGCAGAGATACTATTCTGCTATCTTACTCAGTAGAACTCAGGAAAGCAGCAGAAACCAAAAGAATAAACAAACAAACAAATAAAATACCTACATCAGAGATACAGAGATAGGTAAAACCTCATACACTCTCACAGTGGCACAACATAACAAAGGACCTGAAAAATTTAATGCACCTAAAAGTGGCACACAAATAGAAGAGATGTAAGGAAACTCTAGAAAAAAATTAAGTTCTCCAGGAGTACAAATAGATTTACAAGATATTCCCATAGTATGTATAAAAATATGATAGATGCAGTTTTGTTAAAAAAAAAAGAATTCATAAAATCTAGGAATATGAACCCTGGTCAAATTGAAAGGAGAATCCCTTAAAAGTAATTTCTGTCATTTTGAATGTGAATTGACAATAGGGTTTATCAAGTTGTCATTGAATTCTTCAAAATTTTAGTAATATTCTTTACTTTAAAGTCTAAGTCACCCATGTAACAGCTGGGACAATAGATAGTGGGCAAATGTTTTGGCTTGTTTCCATTAGAGCCAGTTCAAAGTCATTTGTCAGACTTACTGTCTTTGTTTCTTGGCTCCTTGTTAAAGCTTAAGTTTTGAAAAAAAAATATTATAAGACAATGATGTTGTGCTTCCATTTTTTTATGGGACTCTGTTTGCTGCCACACATCAATCCAGATTAAATGTTTTATCCTATAGATAATTTTTCTGTAGATCAGGAAACATGAAGACTCTCAAGCAAATAAAATATGACACCCCCTTAAACAGTCTCTAGAGCTGGAGTTGCAGATGCCTTCTGCCCTGAAAGAATGTATGCTCCCTACACATACATCTGTAGAGAGTGAGTCATTGGAAATCAAGTGAAAAAATTAAGGTCATCCAAATGTTTTGGAACGACAAATGCAATGCAAGGTCCTACTTGAATAGATCCCGCTTGACTCCCAAATCTACCAACAACAACAACAAAAAATGAGTAGGTAACAGCTATAAAAATCATTTTTTGATAATTGTGGACATTTTTAAATGTGGGCAGCATAATGATTTATCTTATAGAATTATTGATAATTTTCTTAGTTGTGAAGATAATAATATCATTGGGTAAAAAAATTGCTTTCCGTCTTGGAAGATGCTTGCAAAAATATTAGGGATATATTATCATACAACATGCAATTTACTTTCAAAACTTTCAACTTAATAAAATATGCATTATTTATGGCAATATAAGAAAGTATCTAGGCTTTGGAGAAAGAGGACTAGAGAGATGCACAGAAGGAAAAAGCAATATTTCAGATAGGGTCCAAGAAGACAATGCAAATGGATCTGGTGTTAAAAATGCATAGATTACTATGTTGTGCAATAAATGTTTCATTTAAGGCATTTAAAAATACGAGATATTGTGGGATGAAATTGAACCCTCACTACCACTTTGCTGCCACTATATAAAAAACCGGTAATTTTTGGATACCCATGCTTGGAAGATTCCCTTTCTCAAAGCAGTATGGGTTAGATACTGTTATATCCTAAGAGTAAATGAGGTGGTCAGAGAGGTGGCGAGATGAAGAAGGTGAGAAATTTTTCTCTACATCTCTGAGAATGAGATAGCTGTTGACTAAGGAAAAGAAAGAGAATCCAGTGAAATTAAGGAGCCAGCTGAGGTTGAAAGTTATCAATGTACATGAAAAGAAGCCACCAGTTCTGAGAATTTGGCCAACATGCAGAATCCTGAGATCAACACTAGAAATTCAATAAAGAAGGGTAATAAAAACATATATATGAACTCAAAAACACATTGTTTAGAGAAGTATGTATTAAATTAGCATGCCCATAAGTAGCTTATTCTTGAGATACAATAAGAAAACCATAGCACCTAGGATAAAAAAAGTAAGTGAAAACTTGTTAGAAAGTGAATTCAGACGTTATATTACTTGATTTTTACTCTTCTGTACATATTCTTAAATATCAAGAATAAGCAGAGTAAATGTTTTAGGTGTTTTTTTTTTGAAAATTATCATGGGCATATAATTCTAAATGTAATATATTTTTAATCAGAATTAATACAGGAACAGTATATTTTTATTTAATCAAATGAGAGGTGTGACTACAGAGGAATGTGATTGATTTTATTTAATCAGTATCTTTTAATATTAAATAGAATACACAGTACAGATAATTAGTTTAAAAGATGCATTTGCCTTCAGGGCACTTATTAAGTTCAATCTAATATCAAAGAATTTTTTTAAATCCTATTATTCTTAAGTATTAGGATATTTCTTGTCTTCATATTTTCTAATGTGTAATCATTTTAAATTGACAATTTAATCCAAATTGTCACAGGACAAAGAAAAATCTTTGGTGGAGATTATTGGAGGTTTGACTTAGTTAACATATAATAGTAGCACAGTGTTCACATTAAAAGGGTCATTAGTTATTTCAAGACTAAAGTAAAATTAAAAAAATTAGGCCTTCTACTTACATAAGAAGTATTCATATTTTTAAAAAATTGCTGTCATATCCTTGGTCTCATTTAATCCTTTTAACCAAGATATTCCATTCTTGCAGATTGAGAAACAACAGATCAGAAAGATTAAATGTCAGGCACCCAAAAAATAAAGTTAGTGAAAGAATGTTGCTGTATTTTTACAACAACAGAAATAGAAAAGGAATGTTTTCTAAAAGTTACTCTTTTAGCCAAGTCTCATGTTTTAAGTGTTTGGGAAAGAAAATTATTTTAAAACATTGATAAAGATTGCAAAACATGGTTTTATAAAAAACTGGTCTGAAGGTTAATATGGATTAATTTAACACAATAACTCTTAATGCCAAATAGAATTATTTTAAATAGCTTGTTTTCCTTTATATGGAATAGGGTATCTCTACATCAACAATAAGTGAGAGATAAAGAGAAAAACCAGGCCAGAGAAAAGAAAATATGTATTCATCAAATGGCACAGAATGCCAGCTGGAGACGTAAGGTTTTCTTTTACTTCACATGATAATAAAATATATATATATAAAATTTTAGGGTATGGAAACTAAATACATTTTTGTTTCCATGAATTTTATTTCCATTTTTTAGTTATGTAATTTGATATTGCTTAAAGTTTTTGTGGGTCCTTAAGTATGTTTACTCATGCAAATGAACACAATTTAAATTTTTTAAAGGAAATGAGATGGAAATAATTTTATACCACTTTTGCCTTTATAGGCATTTTTAATTAAATGTTATTTTATTGTATTACAAACACACCAATCAGAATAATGTTAAATTACGTTTGCTTTTCTACTAACTCCTTGACATATCTAATTAAAATATAAAAGAAGACATTTCAGAAGGTGCATTTGTTATAATCTTATCCAGAATGTCTTACCTAACCACTTCTCACCTGAGGCAATATTTTAAGCTTACATTTATTTAATGATAAAAATTTTCTCACCTTGATTATTTTACTATCTTTAAATAATGATCACTCACAAAAATATTCTATTATCACTCTAGTAATTATGATTGTTAATGCATCTTGTAGAGTTCTGTCTAGAGGCCTTTGAAAAAAAGAAACTGTGTTCATGTTATTTATTGTTTCCTTTGCTGAGAAGAAGCTTTTTAGTTTGAATCCATCCCATTTATTAATTCTTTATTTTATTTCTTGCACTTTAGGAGTATGGATAAGGAGGTCAGGACCTAATCCGACATGATAAAGATAGTGGGAGAACATCTTTACTACACACACATCAGATAGAGCACTTATCTCCAGGATATACAAATAACTCAAAAAACTTAACACCAAAAAATTAAATAATCCAATCAATAAATGGGCTAAGGAACTGAACAGACACATCTTAGAAGAAGATATATAATTGATCAACAAATACATGGAAAAATATTCAACTTTTCTAGTAATTAGAGAAATGCAAATCAAAACTACTCCAAGACTTCATCTTACTCCAGTCAGAATGGCAATTATCAAGAATACAAGCAACAATAAGTGTTGCCAAGGATGTGGAGAAAAAAGAACACTCATACATTTCTGGTGGCACTGCAAATTGGT